TGAGTTTGAGAGTCTGTCTCTCTCACACTGACCCTCGTGCCGGTTCTGTCCGTCTGTCTCTCTCTCTCTCTAACGCTGACCCTCGTGCCGGTTCTGTCTGGCTGCCTCAGGACCACAGCCTGCTGGAGGGCAGGGTGACACTGCACCAGGTGAAGGCGGGCACAGTGGTGGCACGCCAAGGAGACCAGGTAAGAGGGCGCAAGTGGGCGGGGGGGGGCAGGAAAGAGTCGGGCAGGGTGGAGGGTGGAGAAGAGAGGGAGCAGGACGGGGGGGGACTGGAGACTGACCAGTTTGATAAACGTAGTCGCTCTCATCCTGGCATTGCGCCTGCGGTCTCCCCCCTCTCTCTGCCGATGTGCGCCGCAGGACGTGAGTATCCGGTTCGTGATCTCGGGGCTGCTGCACGTGTACCAGCGGATGATCGACCGCGAGGAGGACACCTGCCTGTTCCTCACCCACCCGGGGGAGCTGGTGGGGCAGCTGGCCGTGCTGACGGGGGAGCCCCTCATTTTCACCGTGCGCGCGCACCGCGACTGCAGCTTCCTCTCCGTCAGCAAGACGCACTTCTACGAGTACGTCGCCGCATCGCTGCCGCCATGGGACTCGGGGGGGATAGGAGTCATTCACTGTATAGGCCAAACCTGTAGGAGTCAGTTACTGTACAGGCCAGTGCCAGAGGGGTCAGTGGTCTGTGAGTCAGTTACTGTGTGGCCAGTGCCAGAGGGGTCAGTGGTCTGTGAGTCAGTTACTGTGTGGCCAGTGCTAGAGGGGTCAGCGGTCTGTGAGTCAGTTACTGTGTGGCCAGTGCCAGAGGGGTCAGCACTGTAGGACACTGAGGTCTCAGTCTGTGTTCTTCCAGGATTATGCGCGCTGAGCCCAGCGTTGTCCTGAGCGTGGCTCACACGGTGGTGAAGAGGATGTCGTCTTTCGTCAGGCAGATCGACTTCGCTCTTGACTGGATGGCTTTGGAAGCAGGTCGGGCTGTGTACAGGTACTTGAGGAAACCCTAGTCGCACTTTACTCCAACACTGTAGTTACCTGCACTCTAGTTATCCTTTACTAGTACTTTACACTGCTCAGATCTCAGTCACAGTCTGCTAATGGTTTACTTTCTTCTCGGTCACACTTTGCCAGCACTTCAGTCATAATCTAGTCGCATTGGAGCTGTACCGTACTCACATCACTGTCTTAATACTCTTCATGTTACTCAAGCGGCGCTGCTGCCCTCCCGGTCACTAACTCGCCTCCTGCTCCCAGGCAGGGCGACAAGTCGGACAGCACCTTCATCGTTCTGAGTGGGCGTCTGCGCTCCGTCATCCTGAAGGATGATGGGAAAAAGGAGCTGACCGGCGAGTATGGCCGCGGCGACCTCATTGGAGTGGTGAGCTTCGGGGTCACGAGAGAGACCGCAGCCCTGAACACGGCATTGGCAGACACACAGATGTGGAGGACTTGGTGTTTAATACCTTTTAATGCGCCTCTGTGTGTGAAGATCTATTTATCCGTGTGCATGCCTCTCTGGGTGTTTTTATGTGCGTATCTTGTGAACCTTTGCACGTCTCGGTATCTGTGCATCACTGTGCATCACGCTTAATGTCTCCTACCCTACTCTCAGGTGGATTAGTCCGAGCGCGCGCACACACACACACATACACGCACACGCACACACCGAGAGGTCTGGGATTGGCTGAGGGCTGTGCGTCTCCGCAGTGACGCCGCTGGTTCTAAGAATACCCAGCCACGCTGACGCCATGGTTACCAGCTCTGAAGTGTCACCGTAGAGACGGTATCCTCGGGGATGAGGGTGGCGCAGGTGTGTGTCGAACTGGTCCCCTCCAGGAAGTACGGTGCAGCGGATATAGATGGTTTTATTGGACTTCTGCTGCAGCCTCCCTGCTCTGATTTACTGACCTTCCACGGGTCTTCCTGATAGGTCTGCTGAGCCCGCCTAAGGCTGGAATGTCATGGTCTGTGAAGCCCTGATAAGTCTCAATAATGATGTGCACAGAGCTGCCAAGTGTGCTTCGACACCCTGTCTCTGTCTTCATCCCCCTCCTCCTCGGTTCAGGTGGGTCCACGGGTTCCACACTACTGTTAGAACAGTACCGGATGACCAAAGCGACCTGACGATGTCTCGGGACGTACAAGTTGTGTTTGACGCGCCCGAGGCTCTTCTCTGTTGTGAGATTGTTTTCGGGATCTGTGAACAGCTGCGTTGAATCTCTCCCTCTCGCAGGTGGAGGCCCTGACTCACCAGCCCCGTGCCACCACCGTCCACGCCGTGCGAGACTCGGAGTTAGCCAAGCTGCCAGAGGGGGCTCTCAGCTCCATCAAGCGCCGCTACCCCCAGGTCAGAGGTCAGGCTGTCGGGCAGACGGACGCTGACTGGACCGATTTGACGGACAGCGATACAGGGACCGACGGATAGTTCTCCCCGTTCTTGCTGACAACCCATCCCTGATCCCGTCTCTCGCTCTCATCCTCGCCCTTTGTCTCTCTTTCCATCTCCTTCCTTCCTTCCTTCCTCCCCCTCCTCTTCTCTCAGGTGGTGACCAGACTCATTCACCTCCTGGGGCAGAAGATTCTGGGGAACCTGCAGCAGGTCAACGGGCCCCTGGCAGGTCAGAGAGCGACAGCAGGCAGAGGCCCCATTCTCCTCTGTGATACAGGAGCCTCTCGGCAAGAGATGCGTGCAGGACAGTGTAGCACGTGATGGGGAGACTGGAAGGGAGAAACCTTGTGGCTTTAAGCAGGACAGTTGCGTTGCAGATGGGAAGTTGTAGTGGATAAGCCGATGTGTAGTTCTTTAAGAAAAAAAGAGACTCTGGGATAGAACACTAAATGCAAGTCAGGTGAAAGCCTTTTCCTTTAGTTTGCATATTATGTATTATTGACATAATACCTGTATTGCTGTGTAAATATGTGTATAAAACAACTCTTGCATTTGCACAGTAGCGTTTATGATCAGTGCTGCACTGTGCAGTATTTACAGATTTCTCCATTTGCCCTGGCTCTGCTCTGTCTGTACGCTTCTGAGAGCTGTCTTTTTGACATTAGTGTTTTATGTGTGTTGACGCCTCTTCTCCTGGGCTATGTGATCGCCTGGTACTGACTGCTTGAGCAGGATCTGTTTACATTTGTCATAGCAGCTGTGGGCTTGGATTGAAGTCACGGTTCAAGTGTCTGAGAGCCCCGGTGCCGGTCTGTCTGTCCCTCTGCGTGCTCATGGTCCGGTCTCTGCCTGTCTGAGTGGCCCGACGTCTCTCTGTCCCCAGCGCGCAGCCTGACTCTGAACACCCCTGGCAGTAAGTGGGATGTTGGGAACCCCGTGTCCAACCTGTCCACCGTGTCCATCCTGCCCGTGTGTGAGGACGTGCCCCTCACCGCCTTCAGCCTGGAGTTACAGCACGCCCTGAGTGCCATCGGTCAGTCCCCTGGTCTGCGTTTTTCTCTTTGTCCGTCCGTACGGATCTGTCTGTCTGATACTCTGGCTCTTTATGTCCTCTCTCCATTGAGGAGAGAGGACATGTGTGTCCATTTTTGTCTGCCTCTGTCTTTGTTTCTGTACCCTGTACCACCACACACGTCCTCTGTCCTCCCTTCTGAACTTTCTCTCCTCTCTCCACTCTGCTTCACAGAGTCATGTGCTATTGTGCCCAGCAGGGGGCATCGTGCCCTGCGACTGTCTCTCCCTCTCTTAGGCTGTGTTAGCTCGCACAATGGTATTTATGCACAACATCACGCAGACAACACCGGGACTTAATTGTAGCTCTGTCCTACCCTGACAGACACGGCTATTGTGCTGTTGAGGGAGTAGGCAGAGGAAGAAGCTCTCCTCTCTCCTTTTCAGCGCCTCTTTTGCTATCTCTCCCTTCTCGCCTCTCCGAAAAGGGTTGGCTTTTCTTGGATTGGCTTGGCTGCAAGGTGCGTCTAACCAGACCAGCTGTCTCTCCCGCAGGCCCCACCCTGCTGCTGACCAGTGACATCATCAAGCAGCGCCTGGGCTCGGCGGCCCTTGACAGGTGAGCCAGGGAGGGGGAGAGAGAGAGAGATGGAGACGGCATGTGCCGGGTATCACCCGCCTTTTTTCTGTCCTCTTCCTCGCTCTCTCCACTCCTTCATTCTCTCTCCTTTTTTGGCCCGACCTCCCCCCCCCACCAACTCTGTCTAGTGTCCATGAGTACCGGCTGTCCAGCTGGCTGGGGCAGCAGGAGGACATTCACCGCATCGTGCTCTACCAGTCTGACCCCTCGCTGACCCCCTGGACCCAGCGGTGCATCAGACAGGCCGACTGCATCCTCATCGTGGGGCTGGGGGAGCAGGAGCCCACCGTGGGGGAGGTCAGGAGCTGGCGGGGAGGGAGGAGAGGGGGCAGAGGGGCAGGAGGGGAGATGAGCATGACAGAGGGGTGGAGCGGAGTGGGAGGGGCAGAGAGAGACGGAGGAGGCAGGTAGGACAGTGGCAGGGAGGGGTAGAAGGAGGAGGGGATGGGGGGGAAGGAGGGGCAGAGGGAGGAGGAGTGGGGCAGAGGAAGGGCAGGAGAGGAAGAGGACGGGCCGGAGGATAAAGAAGGAGGTAATCGAGGGTGATGGGGGCGACGCCGACAGGTTCTCTCTCTCTCTGTCCCCCCCGCAGCTGGAGAGGATGTTGGAGAGCAGCGCGGTCCGCGCCCAGAAGCAGCTGGTGCTGCTGCACCGTGAGGACGGCCCGCCCCCTAGTGGCACGGTGGAGTGGCTCAACATGCGCAGCTGGTGCTCCCGGCACCTGCACCTGTCCTGCCCGCGCAGAGTCTTCTCCAAGAGGAGCCTGCCCAAGCTGGTACTGCCCGCGCCCGCTGCTAGAAAACCCCTACCCTGAATTACACCGTCAATCGATCAGTCAATCAATCAGAGTGTATTTATCAATGCATGAACAGTACAGCACACAGCGGTGTTGTCGGCAGTGACATGCTTTGTCCGCGAGCTCATCAAGAGGGATAGAAGAGTGGAGAAACGGGAGTTTATAGGGATTGGATTAACGAAAAGAAAAACAAATTAGGATACAGTAAATGACACAGGTGCAATTTACAGGTTGTGCAAATGTAACGCAAGGATAGGAGGTGTTTAGCGTTCTTCGTATGTGTTGCACGTTACACGTTGTTCGAACGCACAGATTAGTTTTCGGAGCCGATTTGCATTCCCATCCGGCCGTCCGTTGTGTATCTCCCGATAGGCGGCTTCAGTCTGCGCCCAGACTGGCGCGCTGTGCTATATCCACTGTCTTTCGCCCACAGAGGGAGATGTACCAGCGGGTTTTCCAGAAGTCGCCGGATCGCCACTCCCATTTCTCCAGGCTGGCGCGGGTCCTGACGGGGAACGCCATCGCCCTGGTCCTGGGTGGAGGGGGTGCCAGGTACCAGCCACGTTCGCTTGTCCCCCGACTCTTAGACTTGACAGGTTGGGCGTTTCCCCACTGGCTGTTGTGGAGTAATGCTGGGAATTTTAAAAAATCAGAATAATGAATTATAATCAAGGCCTCTCCTGGGGTGATGCACAGCGGGTCAGGGGGAGGAGAGAGAAACCACTTCACCCAGTACTGGATCTCCCGTGAGGCACTGTGGGCACAGTGCCTAGGGCCTCCGAAAGTTTTAAGGCATACAAAGGAGGGAAACACGAGTGACTAATGAAAAACAAGCCGAAACAACATGCTTGCGATCGACTCTAGGGGCTCCAAATCAATAATCACACGCTCTCCAGCGGCTGTTCTAGAAACTAGAACTGTTGAAGTGATGGTCGCTGGACTCGCTCCGTCAGTCACGTGGTTGAGCATTAGAATAGATAAAAGAGCATTATGTCAATCGACGTCATTCAGTTGGCGTTTACTCCTCTTTTTGCACATTTCGGAGTGAAAGGGCCTGGGGCCCACGAACACCACAATCCGGCCCTGGCTTCACCAGGTGAATTTACAGTGGAACTTTAACGAGGCCTGATCATACTACAGCCCCGAGTGGAATTTAGGCAGGACAGCGGGTTAACGTCCCCGTCTGTACCTGCAAACAATGCCCTGGGGTCTCTGAAGACCAAGGAGTTGGGAACTTGGCTTAACATCTCACTCAAAAGGGCACCTGCTGACCAGCATTGCCTGTCGCCATACCGCAGGGTGTTGGATACAAAATTAAGGTCAAGAGAGAGGAGCGCCACCTACTGGTTCAGCAGCACTACTTCAGCTTGGTTTTACTTGGCTTTCCTGTCCCAGTTTTGACCAGGCCTAACTTTATTGAGCTCCTGTGACCCTCCCCTGGACCTGTGGACCCGTGTCTGATGCCTGACCGTGTGGTGGGGGTGTGTCTTTCTGGCAGGGGCTGCTCGCAGGTGGGCATCGTGCGGGCTCTGAGCGAGGCCGGCATCCCCATCGACCTGGTGGGAGGCACGTCAATCGGAGCCCTGATGGGGGCGCTGTACGCCGAGGAGAGGAACCACAACCGCATGAGAATCCGGGCAAGGGAGTGGGCCATGGTAAGGGGGGGTCGGGGGGCAGACAGAGGGGAGGAAAGGGCGCGGCAAGATCAGATATTGAGCCGGTAAAGACGGGGACGTTTCATTTTTCATTCTCGGCCTCGGTTGTTTCGTTTTAAGAACGTAAGGGGATTCACAAACAAGGAGGCTGTTCGGCCCCATTGAAACAGTTTGGCAGTTAGTAGCTTGTTGATTTTGGGGGTCTTATCCAGCCGTTTCATGAGAAACAGCTTCAGCAGCACGGTGAGCGTGTTCTTTCAAGCGCTTGTCTTGGCACTGGCTTCCTGTGGGACACGCGCAGAGCTCTTTCCTTGCCCCGCCCTCTCCCTCACAGGAGATGACGTCGGTGTTTAAGAAGGTGCTGGACTTGACCTACCCCGTCACCTCCATGTTTACGGGAGCGGCCTTCAACTCGGGCATCTACAGCGTTTTCAAGGACAAGCAGATTGAGGTGGGCTGGTGAACATGCTGAGCTCGCCGTCACTGAACACGCCGATCACATTCCCATCTAAACGTGCTGTCACTGAGGACACTGAGCACGCTGCCTCTGGTCGTGTTGAGTGAGCAGTTACTGAACCCCCTTTCCAACTGAACAGACGAAGAACGCTGCCAGTGAACACCTTGATTTTGTGTAGTTTTGTGGTTTTGGTGTACACCCGTGGAGCCGCCACTGACTGGCCCAGGGGGCGCTGCCCTGATGGCTGTGGCCCGTGGGAGGGTTGGCTCAGGCGCTCTGTTGTCACTGTCCAATGAACAAACACCCATGTGGTTTCACTGAATGTGCACCACAGTGCACTGCTGGTCAGTCAGATGACTGTGAATTCGTATCCTCCAATGGCCACTCCAGTGATGCCGAGGTTGGTTATACAGTGTTGGCAACAGAGCCGAGCACTTTTGTGGACAGCCTTGGTTTGTCAGATGACAGGTGATGTGACCCCCACTCTTTCCTCAGGACCTGTGGATCCCCTATTTCAACATCACCACTGACATCACTGCCTCTGCCATGAGGATCCACACTGATGGTGAGCCTGTCTACCGATCTGCCTGCCCGTCTCCCTGCTGCACGGCGTCTGTCTGTTCCTCCCATTTTCCCGGTGCCTGTGTACCAGACTCTCTCTCTCTTTCTTCCTCTCCACCCTTTCCCTCTCCCCAGGCTCTCTGTGGCGGTACGTGCGTGCCAGCATGTCTCTCTCGGGGTACCTGCCCCCACTGTGCGACCCCAAAGACGGGCACCTGCTGATGGACGGGGGGTACATCAACAACCTGCCAGGTCAGTGCCGCCCTCCCCTCCCTGCCCGGCTCGCTCTCTCGCTCGCCCCGCATCGCTCTGACGCCCCTCCCTG